CACACACACACACACACACACACACACACACACACACACACACACACACACCCCTCCTTCCTTGTTTCTCTGTCTTCTTCTTCAGTCAGTTTGTCTTTTATCCAGTCTGTGTCTCTTCTGTTCTCTGCCGAAAAGCAAAGGAGATAAAATGATAATTTAAACACATTAACACGAGAAAGAACGTTTTATTTATCTTTGTTTGTTCTCTTTAGGAGTATTTTTGTGAGCGCAGGAGGACGCTGTGTAATGTTGCTTTTTCTTTTTTTCTCAGGAGTCCCACATTGTGCTGGTTGTTCCTGGTGCCATGCCTGCTGAAAAGGTAAGGAGCAAATATCTGCGAAAATTTCCTGAAATATGTGGAAAAAAATAATAGCTCAGTATGCCTGTAGCTTAGAGAAATTAATGTTTGGCATTTATTGGGCTTTTGGAGAAATGTTTTTGTAAGTTTTTAAATCGAAAACGATCATTTTAAAAAACTTTTTGAACAAGCTCCATTAGCTTCCTTCGCGTTAGCATGCTAGTTAGCATGCAGCCTAATTTTGTCCGTCCAAATCATTATAAATACATCGCCTGCATTTTAGTTGTTACTGTCTTCAAATATGATGAAGCTAAAGTTTTTTAAGTCATGTGTCATAAGTTTTTAATTAGTACCTTTCAATTGTTCTGACTGACCAGATATTCCAGTTCTTCTGTCTATAAGAGATGATAAACAAGAGTCCAAGTTAATATTAATAAACTATGAGACAAACATGAAATAGCTTTAATTAATCTAACATCATACCAGAAGTTGAAGATGATATTTTTGTAGGTTATCAGCGCTCTAAAGTAGAAAAACAAATTATTGGTCATTTAACAGAGGCATAAAATAAAATGAAATAAAAAGTAGTAAAAATAAAGAAGTCTTTCTTCTGAAGATATTTTACTTCCTGTTCGATTTACTTTTTTGTTTCTGACTGAATGTTCAGGTTTTTAAGTTAAAATGTTCAGCCTCTTTTTAGAGTCCCAGAAAAAGCACCAATTTATTTTTCACGTATTCTTTAATGAGCCTAATGATGTTTTTAATCAAGTTAACATGTTTAGTAAAGCTTTTATTGTCTTAAAGTCAGGATTCCTTTATAAGAGATGACACAGTCTTGTAAAATGTCAGTATTTGAAACTGGTGTACACGTTTGGACCAAGGGTTCTGTTAATGAAGAAGTGCAGTTATTTTCTGACAATCTTTTATAGCCTCAGGTGCCGATTTAAAAATTAAATTAACGATTTCAAGAAATTTCATGTGTAAAATTCTAATGCTATTTCCTTTTTTCCTTTTTTTTGGTCAGAAATTCAAAATTAGAGGCAAGGTAAAATAAAAGTTTTAAATTTGTAACAAAATAGTGTAATTCCTACAAATTAAAACATGTTCTTTCTTCATTTTTTGTATTTGAATACAGGCAAATGGGGTTTGAAATCCCTCCAGATTCTGAGCAAGMTATCCAGAAGGAAAGGAAGGAGTTGAAACATTTCTGAAAAAGGTAACAAGCTGAACTTCGGAGCCTATAAATTTATTAAATTGTTTGATCATTTTGTTATATGTTGCTGGGATGCTTGTTATCTTCTTGTGATATATATCTTAAAGATTTGCTGGATTTATGTAAATGTTTTTTAAAGGATCCGGCTGAGGAGGTGAAAAAATCATGAAAAGATTTTACTCCCATGATTTTATGTGTAAAAGTCTAATTTAATTATTGCTGGAATAAATACGGTCTTTTATTGGTACTGGGAAGTTCTCAGCCGTGTGGCAGGATAATTTATTGTTTATATCATCAAAGTGTACATTTATTTCTTCACAGGAAGTTTAGTGGGCTGTAAATCCTATCATGTTGCCTGTACTGCATCATTGTAGGTGTTTTTAAAAAAAACTCCAGTGCCTCACAGTGGTAGTTCAAAATATTTATATTGTTTTCTTTATTACAAAAAAAAAAAAAAAAAAACCCTCCATCATCAGTTGAATCTAAAACTTTATATTTTTTGTTTTACTCAAGAACTTTAGCTTCTTCTGGCTGCTGTCATTTTTCGATTCTGTCCTCATTAGAGCTAAAAACCTGCTCCAAGCTTCTCTGTTGTGCCTCCTGACTCCTGCACACATCATGAAAGCAGTTGTACCCGTCCCCACTCTGCGTGACATGGCAGGTGTTTATTGAATTTGACGTGCGAACCATGCAGCAGCTCCGACGTTCTTGGTTTGAGACCATCCTGGGGCATTATGTTGCGAGTAGTTCTCTCCTTTTTCTTCTCGTCAACAGTTTGTTTTCGGCAGGGTTTCGACTGTCTAATTAGGGGGGAAATACCAATTTACTCGGAAGAGCGGCGTCAGCAGACTACAAACTTTTTTACAGTTGCCTTTTGCGTAAATAGTTGGCGAGTGTTTTCTGAGTTAAAGGTAGCCTTTGGGTGGAGCATCACTTTTACTGCTTTGAAGGTGACCACAAACCTTCATGTTCGCAGCTTGAAGCCCTTTTTTCAGCTGGGCTTGTACAAAGCTGGCATCTTTTACTGGTTCTGTAGGAAACGAGAGGCTGTCCTCTCTGGGTGGGAGACATCTGGAGACAGTAAGCAGACTCCCACGGGCTTTCGATGTGGCGGTTGGATGAGAACGCTTTACCGTTAATCTGATCATGTGTGAACGAGCACCGCTGGGGAGTTTTCTGTAAAAAATGTTGCACCCAGCATTCAGGCTGGAGCCAGATGCAAAAATGTGTTATAATTTAGCTCATTTTGAGTAACATGACTTTAGTGTTTCGGAAAAATAAATAGCACCCCTGTTCAAACTATTCTGTTCCATTATAAAGTGCAGCTGTTTCTTTTAAATCAGACTATAAGGCATATTTTACACACTGTTTTTTAACTTTTAATTTCTAAAAATACAAAAAAGTGTCTAATATGCAATAATTATGTGAGTGTATTCAGCTCAAAAAACACATTCACATTAATTTTTTTGTCAGTGATTTTTTTTTAAATTTCACCTCCCTTCCTATAACACTAAATTTTTAATGTTTGAATTTTATTTACTTAACCCCCTTTTTTAAGGGTTTAAAAATCATATCGTCAGGCATTCATAACTGATCATTTTGTGGAAAATACACGAAAACCCCAACATGAACTGGTTTGAAATAGTCTCTGGAGCAAATGAAATGTCAAGTTAGACATGCACTTTTTGCCAGATCACAAGTCCCACCCCATCTGTAAAAGTCAAACATGTGGTGCAGACACAAAATAAACCTCCCACCGAAGCACTTAACTTTTAAATGTGATGCTGAGTTTCGTGGAAAAAAAAAAGGTGGCTTGTGTTGGTTAGCACGTAGTGATTTTTGGTTTGTCTTTAACTTTGAGCTCGAGAAAATTCATGCTTTGAACTCCTGGCATGTTTTACACGTTAGGCTAATATGAACTTGGCAGGATGACAACGCAGTTATCATCGTGTTCTGACCTCAACCGTTTCACCAGATCTTGTGTGTTGTGTCTCACGCACATTCTTGAAGCCCCGTGGCGTCTTAAAGTAAAAATAACCAGTGACTTAATGTAAGGAATCTATTATTTTAACAGATTTATTAGGCCAATAATTCTGCTTACCTCATACTGTAAACACAGTGATGTTATACCTCATAGTTCAAATAGTTTTGCTCTGTGCAGCAGCATGTTTTGTTTCCTGAATGAGCTGAAACAAGAGGGAAGGAGCACAGCGTTTTCTGGTCATCGCTTTGTGTTTGGGTGTGGATACAGTAGCCACCGGCCCTCCACATGCTGCGTTACACAACACGGCCAGATGTGCGGTTTGAAAGAGGCATGTGACTCCTAATGAGGCTTCAGAAGCATTTTCACTATATTGGATGTACAGCGGGTAAAATAAGTATTGAACACGTCAACATTTTTCTCAGTAAATAAATTACTAGAGGTGCTAATGACATGAAATTTTCACCAGATGTCAGTAACAACCCAAGTGATCCATACATACAAAGAAATCAAACCATAAATGTCCAGAAATGAAGTTATTTGTAATAATGTGGAATGGCACAGGGAAGAAGCAGCACGTTGAAGCTCGTTTAAAGTTTGCGGCACAACATTTAAACAAGCCTGTGTAATACTGGGAGAATATAGTC